TTATGGGCCTAAGGTCAATGGAATAACCCGGCACGATCCCAAGTACCTCGCACACGCCCAAGCACTTGGACAACACAGGAAGCATGAGTCAAGGTCGAGAACGCTGGAGTTCTAACGGTAGTATATCTGATTACAAATTCTATGGTGCAAATTCGGGGTTTCCTAGAACAAAGCATCTTAATGCTAATGACTCGCTGCCGAAATATATGTATAAATATACATATATGTATAAGTTTTAATTAAGAACTGTAGAGAATGCTATGGTCGAGTTCCCCGACTATCAGATACCCGTTACTCAGATAGTGGAAGTGCGAACAAAAATTTCAACATTTCTGGAATATCGATAATTTTAAAGTCTGCAAAAGTTGAGGGGAGACAGTTTTGGACGGTATGTAGGCGTTCGAGTAGGCGTGGCAAAAAGGCTAATTTATAGAAATTTACAAGATATATAAAAATATGAAAAAAAAATAAAAAAAATATAAAAATATGAAATACTCTGCGAGTAAAGGGTATTTTACTCATAATCCTTTGTGGTGATACGAAAATGTTCATTAAACTATTACTGAATATAGTCACATAATCTATAATTTATTTTAAAAATGCCAGCATCATAAGCATCAAAAAATTAAGTTACGATTATGAGCGGCGGCCACAACAACAATTACCCGTTATTAAAACTGCGGGGTGAAAAGGCTAAATTTAGTTTCGGTTAGTTGCAATTTTCGCATAAACGCTTTTTTCTTGCAATTAAAAGCGGCGCGTAAATGCAAATTTGAATAATGTATTAATGCTTTGTAAATGTTTGCAAAAGTGAAGGAAAATGCAATAAAAACTGGAAGACCATGCTAAATTTGCGCTCATAAATAAGTACAAAACTACAGTGGCACACTTGTTTACAGACTGAATGAAAAATGGGTGTACGGAAATCCCAATAGAATTGTGCTAAATGGTTCACATATATTAAAACTTATTAGCGATAGTTAAAAATAATGGCTTAGGTTCATTGAAATTTGGAGTAGTCGGTAAGAACATTTATTTTCGATCTCATTAGGCTAGCCTAAATCTAAAGCCATATTTTATCGAGCGATTACTATAAATAATATCCCGTAATTGGTTAACGTTAAAAAGACGGCTTTGGATTTGTTCTATGTTCTTATGTTCATTATAAAGAAGATATTTCTGGCACAATCGGAAAATGAGAACGAATCAGTAATCTTAAATCGTATAGTTTCCGAGAATTCGAAATGGGGATAGCTATATGTACTTAAAAGATAAAATGTTTATCACTATAGGGGCGGAGTACAGGGTACAGGGGATACAAGAACCATCGCTTTAACCTGAAATTCATCTAGGTAAGCTCTCTATTTTGCATTTATTACACATACTCGTATTTTGCGGATGTGGATATGTTTTGCTCGTGTGGCGTGCAATCATTATGTCAGATCATATCGCGTTGAAAGTTTCAGCAGGAAATTAAATGCAATTTAGCGAGGACTTAAATGCCGGACGGCTCAGTATGATAACTCCACCTGTCTGTATCTGTGTGTGCTTGCATATGTGTATGACTGTGTCTGTGTGTGCGAACGGATGTATCTGTGTGTGGTGAGAGAGCGAGAGCTTCCATTTAAGCGCTGTTGGCTTTTCCTGGTGGGAAGAAGTGGGTATGTCACCCATTTGTGTATGTGTGTGTGTGTGGGTGTGCGTGTGTATGAGGTGGGAATTAATTATGCAGGCATATCATGGCTACTCCTTCTACCCCTTCCTCTTCTACCCGTCCCTTTCCCACACGCACACAAACAGTCGCATCCTTTCCGTGTGCGGTTTTAATTTGTGAGCCCGTGCCCGTGCCCGTGCCCGTGCATTTTGCCTGATCCTTTTCCTTTCCGCTGCTTGCCATTGCAATTTCCCCTGCCACGCCCACTTGCCAGGGCCCCTGCGCCACGCCCCTTGCCACCCATCCCTTGCTGCGGGTTGGGGTATTTTTTGTTCTTGTTTTCCTGCCCCAGAGTTGTTTGCAATTCCGTGTGATTTCACTTGGCCGGCAGGAATCGATGAGTAAAGCAATTTGGGACAGGGAGTCCTTGAGAACAGCACTTTGAGGTGTCCCGTATCCGATGGGGCACTATGTGGGCGCCAGACCCACCAGTTACTCCAGTTTTTAATGATTTCAATTGGCAGGCCCGTGCTGAATCACCAACGCCACTAACCCACGTAGTGCTGCTTAGTTCGGATAGTGACCCGGATAAAAGCTAAATTATTTTTAAAAATCTATATTTAACATCCAATTAAGCCATTTGGACAGCCATGACGAATACGCTTCACATGTGTGAATAAGCAGGAAATAGCAATTCCCATGGGTCAATCATCGATTACGTACCCACATTTAGCTTCTTATTCGTTGGTGCATAGAAACAGTAGACTTAGTTTCACTCATTGGATTTGGAAATTTCCCAATTTCTTTTATTTCACACATCATCATGAAACTTATCATTGAATAAACGCAAATAAAATAGCCAAAGCGGCAGATCTGAATCGCTGGAACCGAAACAAGCTTATCGCCACTGCGGTTGCGGCGTGCGTCGCTAGGTGGCGCTATCATCCTCGTGCGCCTGCCGGGTGCACTCCACTTACAAATTCTATAAATTTTAGATCATAATGTGACCAGCACCCATTCCGACGTGCGTCTGTGTCTATGTGTCTGTGGGAAAGTACACCTGTGTGACGGTGCAGGTGGGCGGCGAGTGGGAGGGGCGGGGAGTGGGTCGAACGCAGAGCTCTATTTGCTATGCATTTTCATTAGTAGCAACTTTTCAGCTTAGACGCTGTAATTAGCACGAAATTGGCTTCCGAAATGGGTTTAAAGGGTTTCCAGCAGCCCAAGTGAGCAGCGGTTCTTAAAGTGTATGCTAAGGTAAACGTACTTTTTAAGTTGTACTTGCATTGCAGTTGAGTTTATTTGTGGTAACGCTCATTGGAATAAAAACAAATTAAGTTGACGTCTTTCACAACTGCAATCTGCGACTCATTAGCTGCAGTTTTCACTTTCCTCGCGAGACTTTCCCCGACCGGTTGACAAACATTTGGCAAACTCCTTTAGCGCCATACTGCTAATTGGTATGACTTCGTCCATCTGCGTAACCTCCTCTGATTGTGGAAGCTATTAATTTTACATCGTTGGATTTTCGCATAGTAATAATATGTTTCTTTTATTAGTATTGGGTTGTTTCTCAGCTTATCGCTTACATTCATTTTTATACATTAAAATTTACGCTAAAAGTTGTAAATAAAATCATTTTGAAATGTAATCTTTCGTATATTGGCTTGGTATCTTGTATCTTGTATCTTGTGGTAGCTTCTATTAACAATTACACAGATTTATTGAAATATTCGTGTCACATTCAACGTCGCATTGGGATTGCGTTTCCTATATGCGTATGCTTATTTAAAGTGGGGTGCGAATTTCAATAAATATTTTACCTTGAGCAAATAGATTGCTCGATAATTATGGCGAACCTGTAATTACGCTGGATAAATAGAAATGAGGCACGGAATATTAAACGGCATTTGGTGTCTGGCTAAATGGTAAATAAATTCACAATAATTAAAGCCCTAAATTCCGCTTGAAATTAATAATTGAGCTCATCGATTGCCAACCAGCAAATGTCATTAATATGCAAATGCGTTATGCAATGCGGGAATTATTTCTCTCCCTCTGAAGCAAATTGCGCCATAATTCGTGCCAAATGGATTCATTTTGGGTGCCGCTTAAATGTAGGTTTCTAAAATATATGTACAGTGCTCGGTGCCAGAACTATTTAAGCAACTTAAACTATAGCTGGTGCACGGGTCAAATGAAAATGAAATGCTGTCTGAAATCGGGGTTTCCCAAGATGTACATATGTAGTATGTACCTATGCGATATTGGAGATATCCTAAGTTTAGTTTAGTTTAGTTTTGTCACTATCAAATGCAGGAAAAAGCAATAGAGTTGTGGGCTAGTTTACGTTCATATGGTTTATACATTTATCTCGCTATATTTATGGTTAGTTTAGTGTTTTGTATTTTCCGCTTTAAATGCCGTTTGATCTGCTGAGTTCTATGGCGGAATTTCCATTCGATTAAACATTCGTGGCCGTGGAAAAACAAAATTAAAATTTGACTAGAAATTGAATATGAAAATTTAATTTTGTTTTTGTTGCGACTTATCCAGGATGGGTTTTGTTTGAATTTTGTTAAAACTTAGCTTAGATAACATGAACAATATATTTGCTCGTACTCGTATGTAGGTAATTAATATATTTAAATTGTAATATTAGTGATGTGTTTTCGTTCGATTTTATTATAATTAAATAACTAATTAAATAACATAACATTAGTCAATTAAAACTAAAAACGCAGTCAATTTATATATTTGGAATTTCATTTAGCATACGCATAAAACACACATAATTACTCCGGTTTATTTGTGGCTGTTTTATATTGAAACACTTAAGAACAATGCTACAAATTCATATTGCTGTATGTGTTTTTCTTTCTTTTCTAAAACATGCGCAAAAAAGTCTTATTTTCTTTTGCTAAGATACAGATTTTGCTTGCACCTACGTCGTTTAAATGGCTCGTCGGATTGTATTCCTAATAGATCTACTACTCAATCAGCTGATATACTTAGTTGTACGAGTATATGTTGCTTAGGCTGGGTCGATTTTTAGAAGTAGAAAATGAATAATCTGTTCTATACTTTTCTTAGTAAAAAGGTGTCAAACTTTACTTTTTATTTAAACCAGTTCTACCAGAAAGTACTACCCTTTTCTGCTGGCTGTCGAATGCTCATTTCGGGGATTTCCGACCCAACCGATGTATAGATAGACACAGCTAGACATTACAGATTTGCTTTAAAGTGCTTTCGGTATTTTAGTACGTTTGCTTCTGGCTAATCGACCCATCGCTTTACTTTCGTGTTGTTTTGTATAGGATATGCAACTAAATTCACGTCTCTCATTTCGCCTGCACTCTTGTCAGCAGAGGAGAATCCCTCTGGATTCTCCCCCTTGTCTGGACTTAATACTTTTCCTGGCTTCACGTGGGAAATCCTCCCGCTTATGACATGGCGTTGTAGGATGGTTGCTCGTGTTGCTTGGGGCAGCGGCCGTGTTTGTCCATGTAGAGTCCAAACTCACAGGTGGGCGGCTTGCAGCGACCTTGCTGTATGCACCTGTGGTTGGGGGTAAGCAGAAGGTCAGGATGGGGATGGGTAAGTGCGGGGACTCCACTCACTTGCGATCGTTCATGGCAAAGTGCTCGTTGCCCCGCTTCAGCCAGTCGCAGTCGTAGTTCCCGGAGCTGCAGTCGCACCTGCACTGCCCGTCGTCCTGCAGGATCTTCTCGAAGCTCTTCGGACAGGTGCAACTCAGTATGGTGGCCCGCACCGCCGTGGTCGACTGCCCGTAGTGGGCCATGGCCGTCTCCTCGTTGTAGCTCGATCGCTCGATGCAGTGGCACTCCGTGTGGTTCACAAAGGTCCGCTTCTCGATGACGCTCCGATGCTTGCTGCTCTTCACCTGCGGGAAATGGAAATGGAAATGCGAAAACGGATAAGTCCTTCGGTCCAGCAAGCTTAATTATAACGACCAACTATTTGCACACGGGCTGCATAATTGACCCCCAACTCCATGACGCCATGTGGCATCGTATGTAGCATATATGTCTTCCAACTGGCAGCGGGGAGTTGGCAGTCTCCTAAGCTGGCTGCTCATCAAACTTGTTGTCATTGTTGCCTTGTCTAGTTGTCGGTCGGTTATTGCTATAGCTCTTGTAACTCTTAAATGAGTTGTCGGTTGTCTGCGCAGTGGCTTATGTGATTGTGAATCGCGGTAAGGGGATTTTTCGGCTTCATAACTAAAGTGCTCTTCCGACAGATCTTATGCACAGATGGACAGGCTAACGCCTTCTATTTAACTATATTTGGCAAGGGTTTCGACCTAGCTGTTCTAAAAACGTAAGTGGCTGGCAGTTAGCTAGTCCCCCTCTAATTTGGCCGCACGCCTCTGTCCAAAAGGCATTAGCAGACCGCAAAACTTCCACAGCTGCTGGGGCCTGGAATTGAATTGGTCTCGTGTCGTCACTTTGGAGGCTGCCCTGTGGTCCACTTTCCACTCCACCCATTCCAGTGCGCCCGAGCCCGCTCAAAGTTGTGGGTCTGGCTGCATGACAAGTGCAAAATGATGAAATGCGTATGAATTGCATAAATTAAGTTGGATTTGCTTAATTAAAATAACAAGTTGGCCATTAATCAAGCCTGGCCACTCATCCAGCGCATAGATCTTGGTTCGCAAGGAGCAGCATATGGAAAAGGGGGTGTGGGGAGGGGGTAAAAGGCAGGGAAAATGTCTGGAAAATGTGCCAAAAAAAAGGTCTGCAGAAAATGGGGAGTGCTGTGAAGCATTTGAATTTTGATTGGACGCATCAGGGCAGAAACAACTAACAATCCCAATAAGTTGACAAAGCATAAAAAGGGAAAATTCACTGGTTCGTTTCAGGTATTTATGAAAATGCTTCAAATTGAGTTTTTAGTTGCGTTCACTGCGGTTCGTGTTGTGTGGCTTTTACGGTTTGTGGTGCGGTTTTGGCTAATAGAAATGCAACTCAACCTGCAGCGGATTGAAAAACTTTTCCGCCCCTTGCAGCCCCAAAAGTTGTTGCTTGTTTTTGTAGTCAGAGCGGCACAAAATTGCTTGAGAAGAGGGCGCTTTTCCTCACAAAAAGCAACAATAATTGCCGGAAACGGAAGTGCCAAGTGCTGGTGTTGTTACTTTACTGTGCCCAAACCACGATTGTTCAAAAATTGCACTAAAGTGCTTCTCCTGTTTCTTCTGCTTAGCAAATATGCAAATCTCAGCCTACACACGGCTACAAACCGAAAAGTCCCTTTTTAGCACTAGTTTTTAGCTTTTACCTAAAATTGAATATACACAATTTTTATGAACTTGCAGTGCTAGAATATAGTTTTTGAAATATTTTATTTTTTTCGGGCTTTATTGAAATTGGCTTAAATAATTTCGAGTGCATTGTGATGCATAACAATATTGTTGATGGGGTAGTGCACTTTTCAAGATGGCCTCTCTAATTGAGGTTGGGTCTTTATGCAGGAAAATGCATTCGAAACCACCTCCTTTTCCCTTGAGAGTGTGCGTGAGTGTCCGTTGGTGTGCGTGTGTGTGACCCGAGCAATTAGTCAGTTATTGCTCGGTTTGCCAGGGATTTTCCGAGTGGTGGGCGGCTTGGGGTGGTTGCGATTAAGCCAGCTCAGTGTCGTGTAAGCATAAAATGTTTTTCCTAAATTCATGCATTTTCCAGAGGCTTCCTGCGCTGTGGCTTGGACACGATACAATGGAAAAGGACGAGAACTTAATTGAGGCGAAAAGGAGGCCGGGCTGAGTATTTACTGAGACCTAGGCTTGCCTACTTTTGGGGAGGAATTCCAAATCATTGTTATATATATTGACCTGGATTACTTGTTCCACAGTGTGCTTGAATTTATGAGTTCCAGTTAGATTAGCCCAAATCTAAGTGGAAGCTCAAATTTTTCTACTAAGAGCTACAAATTTGTGTCTTAAGTGCTTTTAAGGTTTGTTTTCTGCCAATGGCCTGGTTCAAAGTTCACGCGCGTGCCACCTAAAGAAGATGCATTTATTTTTCTAGCTAACTGCAAGCTTGGCATCCAAATCCATGACTCTATAAACTTTGGGAAATGAGTAAATAGTTCATGTAGCTGCACCAAGCCTTGGCATTCCCCATTTCAGCTTCACTTCCTCCCAACATGTTGGTTCCACATAAATCCGAAGAATGCAGAACTTGCAACTGTCATCAACTGCTGCTAAAGTTTCAGCAACCAGGAAGACATCGGAAGGGGATTTAGATGGTAAACAGAAGGGCATTTCGGAAGAATACAGGACTTAGAGGATCTTGGGATTGTACAGACACACAGTGCATGCCCTCTAAGCAAAGTTGAAGTATTTGAAAGCTCAACTCCTAGCGGCAAATAGTTGAAATGACTAAGGTAATTAGTTATTTATTCAAGACGACTATATCGATCATAGTGGGTATGCGAGTTCGAACCATTCCTCATCCTTTGCTTGGCGCCCATCACCCACATCAACGTGGCTTAGAGGAGCTTTTCCTAACTGCAGTGCGGGATGCTGGCGCTTGGCGCTTGGCTCTTGCACCTGTTTCCACCTGTTTACGTGCTCGCAATTTGCATTTTCCCCGCCCTTCCCGCAGCTCCCTCTGTGTGCACACGTGGATGTCTCGTGGTGGGGCACGGGCATTTCAGCGTGGCGAAATTGCATTACGCAGTTCGAAAACTGGCAGAGGCAGTGTCATGAAAGGAGTCCTTTCTCTTTCTCCGCCCCTGCGTGGCTTTCATGCCTTTCCGAAATCCACCTTATCGCCCGTTACCAGGCTTTCAACTCATCCCAAGCTTATTATGCACACGCCTTGAGCTGGCCACATTTTGTGGCAAATTAATTAAATCACCGCAGCTCACTTCGACTGCATATAAACTTGCAGATGCCTAGGCACAGTGAGAAAACAATGCGATTTACTTGAATTGCCGTCCCAAGTATAAAAGTAATTGGATGGCATATGCTCTTCTATTGTTTAACATTTCTATTAATGAAGAGCTTATACTGATGAAATCCTAATTGTTATATATCTCTAAAGTTCATGGTGCGTCCTTGTATCTATCAAAAATGTGGAGATAAGCAATCATTAAATTCTTTGGATCATTTGTTAAATGATGCATATAAGGTCGTAGTTCTTACTTTATTGACCTGAGAACTGGATGCACATGAATTGTGCTGAAGTATGAACAGAATAGTATTGCAAATGGCCATGTAGGTGGAAATTTCTTCGTATGGAGGACATAGATGACGGGTGCAAGTGGATGAGGAGTTGGCCATTTGCCTGACAGCCAATTGACTTTTACTTCGGCTTCGGTTTGCTAAACAAGCAAAACTTTTGCCGGGTGTGTGCTGGATTTTATTAGTGCTGCTCGTGGGCGTTGGCTTTCACGTTTAGGAGGCCTTTGATTTCTGCCTTGGCTTTTCTAGCCCCACGTGCCCCACTCCCCTTGTCCCCTTGCCTCCTGCTCCGCTCCTGCCAGCCCCGCGCCACCGCGCTCCTCTGGACTTGGGTGAAAGTGGGGGGCATTGAACCCGAAAAAGAGAATCCAGGAGGCGCAGAAAGGAGAGGAGACTGCCTCATAAATCTCACAGCGCTTACAACATGTGCCGCAGTTTGTTATGGTGTGCTCGGTCGGCAGAGGGGGCGGCTGGGCAGGCCAATGCCCTTTGAAGACTGCCCCGGCATCCTGCTCCCCCTCCCGGAAACCCTGCTCGAAATGCAAAAATTTGCGCAACATAAATTATGTTTTGTTAAAATGTTTACGCTTTTTATCGCGCTGCTGTTGTTGGTTGCATCCTCAGCCTGGTTATCGCTCCTTGGCGCTCCTACACGGCCACCCTTTCGAACCTCTTGCTGCACAGAGCGAAATTGGTGGCACTTCAGGATGCTGTTTATATTCCCCAGTAATAAAGCAGCACAGCATATCCCTCTTTAAAGAGGGCAACTTAATTTGAAGTTTATTCTAAATGGAAAATGATGATTTAGTTTGCCATATTTTCTGCCAGTGCAGCACCTCCTCTTCAGCACTGCAGCTGTGTGTGTCTGCGTGTGTTTGCCTGCCACTTGACACCTCTCAATGACAAACCGCTGAGTTGCTCCCTCCTGGCAAGTTCTCCTGCAGCTTCCTCAGCTTCCTCAGCTGCAGACTGTCCTGCTTCTTCATCCTGTGGGGCTTCTTTGCTTCTTTAGTGCCTGATATTTTTTTGTACCGTATATGTGTTTTTAAGCTTTAGTGCTGCCAACAGCTTGGGCAACATAGCTTCAGCTTCAGTTTCCTGGCTAGAAATATTTTTTGTGTCCCCTATGAAGGATGCAGACCAAGGAAGAAAGGAACGGAAAATGGTCTGAAAATGGCAGGAGCGGGGGCAAGAAGCCCACAATGATGGCCACTAGAGCTCCCTGGGGCCATACACTTTGCTGCCGCCTGATTCCACCGAGCTTGTCATGGAGTTTGCTCATGCCAAAGAGGAACAAGTTTATTTTGGGGGCTTCCTCGAAACTATTTGCATATTTAAACTGACTTTAAGCCGGCTGGCTTACTGCATCCTCAATTTAGAAAAACACAAGGGTTAGGCGTTCTGTTCTGTTTTTTAAAACGATTTGTTGACGAATCTTCAGCCCTAACACATATTTAGCTTCCGCACAACCTTAATCTGTTGAATGTATGGCATTTTACATTTGAGAATCACAACATATTTTGAAGTCTTATCTCGACGCTCGACCACTACCATTAATTTTAAATACCCCTCCTCCTAAAGTTATCTAGCTGGCGTATCCCATAGGTTTTTGCTCGGGTGCCGAAAATGTTAAATTGCCCTACGATAATTTGTGTGGTCTTGCTCGCCAGTTTAATTGGATAATTAAGTGGGGCGAGTTGGCTTGACTCCTTTTCCGCCCCCTTTTCATAGGATGATGCCTCATGTGGGGGCGTGTTTGTCTTGTTCTTAAGCATTTTGCGGCCATGTATGCCCCAGACTTTGGGCTGTCTTCTGGCTCAGGGTGTGTGAGCATACTCGTAGATAAATCTTGCAAGTGGCAACTTTTTGCGGCAAGCGCAGCATAAATATTTGAAAATTAAAAGCCATCCTCGGAGGACGGAGTTGCTGCCTTGAATGCCCCTAATAAAAAGTTGCCACCGCAGGAGTAAAATTTATGAAATTTATGTTAAGAAGGGGAGAGTCAGCCACTTACCAAAGCGCATATAATGGAAAACTAAGCAAATGCAAAGGAAACTTACGCTAAGATCCCTGGAAAAGCATAGGAATTTTCCTTGCCACTTGAAACATTTTTGGACTGACAACGAAATATTTTTCCTCGTGTTATTCAATAAGTTGAGTAAATTGTACGTGTATTCGATGAGCCAAGAGATACTGCAGGCAATTTTCAAGTAATCCCTGATGCTTAGGCCCCGCATACGTGTATGTAGTTAACCCATTTAAATCAAACGAATCCACAACTCGTTTCCGTTAATTAGCAACCAGCCATCACATTGCCAACAATCCAATCTGTAGCGCATTAAAATTAAGCAAAAGTGGGTTTCCTCCCCCAGAGCAAAGCACAAATGCTTAATTACATTCTCGATTTCAACATGTATTGAAAGCTCGTTACGTAACAAAAAGACAGCCAGAACAATGACGGCAGCATCGAGCAACAATAATCATATCATGAGGCATAAATCACCAAACAAATTGAATTATCATGGCGTCATTAAAAAGTCATTTCAGCCGAAAGAGCGCGCTGCAAAAAGACGTACTTACTGCGATCAAAAATGAAATGAAAATAAAGGTGGAACGATATGATTATGTTGCAATATGGCGCCCTCAGGCATGACCTACGCCCACAAAAACAATAATGAAAACAACAACAACAGCCGCGTCGATTGCCACCGGAAAGAGACGGAGCCATGTGGAAGGAGAGAGACAGAGCATCGGTACTTAAAGTCATAAAACGCGAGCAAAGCGCACACGTTCGCTTTCAAAAACCTGAAGCCCAAATACAATGAATGCGTTCGCGTCAGAATGAAAATGGCTTTTCATTAATTATTGTTGTTGCTTTTGCTGCACCCAAGCGCAACGTTTCAATGAAAATGATTTCTTTAAAGACTCAAGGGCGCGGCCCTTTAAAGGGCGGCAGTAAAAACAAACGTAATAACGAAAAATGGTTCAATTATGCCTTACGCAGTGCTTCAGGTTTCAAATCCGATTTCCGGACTGGAACTACGATCGCTTCTAGCTGATAAAAACCCATCAAATAGCATCTGTACTCACGAAGAAATGCAGCTCAACGTTGTGGGTGCTCTTGGCGGCACATATTTGGCTTCTGCTGGGGCAGCAACCACTGTCCTCGCTGCAGCGGTGCAGAATGGTGCAGTGGGGTGTGTAGATCTTGGAGGGATCCTGCTGGACGAGCTGGCAGCGTTTCTGGGGGACTCGGCAGGTGGCCTCCTTCAGCACCTGGTTCATGTGGGCGTGGGCCAGGGCTGTGCGGAATTGAGACAGATTTAGTTGAGTAGCATGCAGTAGGGGCAGTGCCACAGGGCTAGCTTACCTCTCTCACTCTTCTGCTTCTGGGCATGGAGGCGTCTCGCTTTGATCACCGCTTCGGGGGTTCCCATATGCTCCTCCTTCCTCTGGCCGACCTTCCCCGCAACGTAATTGCGTGCGTAAATGTTCTCCACGTCCTGGAAGGGAAAACAGGGTTCATTTTGGGCTCATTTTAGTTATGCTAATTGATGGTTTTGTTTTGTGCTCGTTTTCATATCCCTTTTGCCACTCCCCCCTTGGTTTGCCACCATATCAACAGCCACATTACGCATACGCCACCGTTGCCATAAAAGTCACTCACATTAATAAAGCCCCCATTCGGGCCGTGTGATGACAATTTGTCACCATTTTTATTGTCCGTAGAATGCAGAAAGAGGAAGGGAGCGGAGGGGAGGGGAAGGCAAACACAGATTGAGGCAACATGCCGGTGTAACATTAACGAGAAGTTGGTACCCAACAATATGTTGGCCCACCTGAAGTTCATAAACTAAGAATTCATGTGCACGCAGACGGCACGAAAGCAGCAGCAGTTACATGAATGAAACGGAAGGTAAGCGCGTTTAAAGGGCACAGATGGATACCCTTACCCAAGCTTATTCCGCATAAGGAAAAATTAAACATGCCACTAGATATCTAACATGCCCAGAGGCAATCAATAATAGCATACTTTAGCAAGTAACTGAGTTGGTCTAACCTCCAGTGTCAGCTGCAAACTGAGCCACCAAATCGCTGTACCTTGACCCATAAGGGCAGAACAATGGGCACATGAAACAAATTGGCATTCAGGGCAATAAATACGACTGCGAGAACAATAGAGAAGAAATTGTCGGACATGGACTTATAGCAAAGCCCGGGAAAAAGGAAATCAACCTGGTCCATGGCCAAAAGCAGAACCAGCTCCAAAAAACCAGGCCCAGTCAACCACGAATTGGAAGCGAGACCGAATGAAGTAAAAATGTTGACCAATGCGCACAATTGGCAATTTGTGAAGTTAAGCGAAATTAATGAGCTGACTGCGGCCACAGCTCTTGCACACACAAAAAAAATATATAGTAAATATACAAAGATATATAGGCAGTGCCGGTAGGAGCGAAAAATCGTAAATTGCGCGAATGTGGGTGGGCCAAATGGCTAAATAAAAGGCCAACGCTCTGGAGTTGGGCGGCCTGTTCATTAGTCACACATTGAGCATACATACATGTATGTATATAAGTAAGTACTATGTATGTGCGGTACAAGGTGCTCAAGAGCAATTGGCATAAATCTTCGTCTTTGGCATTTGTGCGTTGTATTGTGTCCAGGCCCATTCTCATTTTCATTTGAGGGCTAGCATTTCTGGTCCATTTGCTTTTGGCCGAAAACAATGGCTCTTTGATGTTGGTCAATGATATTTAGCGCCTTAACCTTGAGGCTTATGAACGCTTCCCCCATTGTTGTTGTTTTCCGATGGCCCAAGATGAGCCACAGGGGCACAAGGGGCACGAGGGGCACGATGGGGGAGCCGCAAAAGCCGCTCAAGAATGCGGCGATAATGCCCATGTCTATGAACACTTGGCCTTTGCTTAACCGCCAAGAAGATTGGATTCGCATCTGCCCATTGGGCAGCAATAAACCGTAATGCAGCTTGATGGAAATGCTGCGGGAAAATTCCTGCGATAAGGCTGGGATCAGCCTTATGAAAATTGCAGATTTGGGGTAACGCACCGTGTACATAGGTTACCTATTTTCAGAGAGTTATGTTCAAGTATTTTACAGGATATCTTTATATAATATGCATATACAAATGTGTATATAACTTAAGAAAATTAGAATGCCATTCGAATTAAGACAACGAAACATAAGCACTTGGAAAATATTCAGAAACAGCATCCCAAGTGCACTTGCACAAGCACTAAACACCCGACCAGCGCGTGAAATTTCATCTCATTTGGCAAATTGCTTTTGCAAAAATAATTTCGCTTGACCCGTTTGCTTCCGTGCTCTGCTCCTTCAAAGCCCGGCTCATTGCAATTAAATTTGTGTTTTTCCAGCTTCCATTTCGGACAGATTTTCCCGTTTTTCCATCCAACTGCTAACGACACTTCAGTCTGCGACGTTGGCTGAGAATTTATCACCTTTCGGGTCGCTTCTCGTTTGTCAACTTTATTCAATTTTGAAAACTGCACTGGCAGCGAGAAGAGATAGGGGAGAAAGGGGAGAGCCGTCAGCTGCCTTCACTTTCATCAAACTTCTGGCATTTGACGCCGTACTGGCTGCTTATTAAAAACTCAAACGCCCCTCGAGGAGAGCTTCTACGCTTTGGCCCACTCTTTTTGGCCCACTCCTCGTTTTTCCCGCCAGCAGACACTCGGCTGTCGAGTCAAGTGCTGAAATATTGCAGCCTCTGTGGGGGATCCGCCGATTCCCCGGCCATTCCTGTCTGGATTGCCCCATTCGCTCCTGTTTGTCATATTGCATTCCACAGTCGAGTGGCATTTTGACGGAAAGAGTGGAGGTGAAATGGGTGCACGGGAAAAATCGAAGGATCGAGGAAGCCTATGGATTTAACCATAAAACGTTATATTCAAGTCATACCTTTTGAAAACTAATGGTACGGACTTGACCGAATGAATGCTACCTAGATAAGAATATTAATATTTGTATCTTTTAAAAGATTATTATGTTGGAAATATACTTTTAATGCTTTTGTGTTTTCTCCCAAAGCCGTTTTGCTCTCATGCTTTAAATGCTTTGCCCGACTTAAAATTTCGCAACATTTATACAAATTTTTCCCAGTGCAATATCGTAAATTGGAGCAGAAGGAGCGCACTTGATATCATATCAAAGTTGAATGTTTTTATTTATTAGCTGCATGCGAAATTGATTCCGCGAATACAGGGAAATACAGGCGAAGAATTTGCCAGTTCCATATCAGCATTCCATATTCTAGTTTGAAGAGATTTGAAAATGGTTTGATTTGAATTTTTTCCGCATTTTGCGCTGCATACTTTCGGGGGTGTTCACGTCAAATTGCGCATACGCCTCGTGTGACGAGCGGAATTATTTTGAAATGTATTTGCATAGAAAAGGCAAATAAAAGTTGGCCAGATAAAACGCGATTCGAACCCCAAAGCGGAAAGAAAAGTTTTGCATTGAAAAGTTTTGATGGTGAAAAATGCACATACAGTGCGCATTCGGATAAGTGCTTGGGTTCACTTCGGTAATTGTTGTTTACTCATTGTACGAGTATGAATCATGCCGTCTCTTGCTATCGCGCATCAGCCGTCCCTTTCTGTGGATTGTTACCTGCATTTGGCTTGATGCGTTTTGTTGTATATAAATTGTATTTGTTGAACTTTATAATGGTTATGAAGTTGATGGTTTTACGAAGCAATTTGCAACAACTTCTGTCTGTCTGCCTCTCTCTCTTTCCTGTCATCCCCCTGTCTCTCTCGCTCTCTTGTTATTTTCTTGGAGCCAAGCTCTTCGCATACAACTTTTGCCAAGTTTTCTTTTGGGACTGGTCTCATAAATTTTTATTATGAATGCACATATTTTTCCCGGGTTCACTTGCAATCTCTCATTGTTCTTGTCTCTTTCCCGTCGGCTATACCCATCTCTTTCGAGCGGTGTGGAGTCTGTGCTGCGAATATGGGGCTCAGTTGGTGGCCGAGTTTGGTGCGGTTAATGTGCATTTGGCAGCTATTATGGCTTTCGACCATAAATATTGCCTTGGAAATGATAACTTGTGTGGCATAGTTTAAATGCCCGAAGAGCAATCGCATCAATTAAATTTCCTAGATACCATATTTGTTTAACCGTCATACCCGCCCTCTTCGAGCATTTATAATTTAATTAAATCATTTACGCTCCTTCGATGCCACACACATCCACGCAAAATTTCCTTTACACATGATTTTGACCTTATTTATGTTGAGCCTGGCTCAGCATTTACGCAAATTTCCCAGGTGCCTTATTTTTCATTCAACAGCAACAGCCATACTCGTAAAACCAAACAAGCCGAGCGTGCCTCGAAAAAGGCAGATTAAAGTCCTTTAAGGCCAACGGCGAATGAATTATAAATGATAAACCGACTGAACGGTGGCAACCTTTAACAGTTTCACCTCAGATCTTCGGGGGGCCCTGAATCGTTTGCCTGGCATATGACCCTTGAGGGGATATATACTTTACATATGTACATACATATGTACATTTACTCGGCTGCATATTCATTCACTGCCGTGGTCATTTCACTGTACTAATGCACTCATGCACAGGGGGCTCATCGAAATCTCTCCATATAGGGATTCGCGGAGAAGAAAAGTAGTTATTTTTACAATTATTGGAAGTCTCATGATTTCAAATGTGACATTTTTTAATTTTTTTGAATTTCACATCATAACAAAAAAAAAATACAAATAAATTAAAATTTTTCTACAACATCATAAAATCAGAAAAATTACAAAAGAATTAAAAGAAAATATAAATTTCTAAATTTGAATGCAGTTTTTTAGAGAATTGCGCCAGAAACATTTGGAGGTATGCCACTTCAAAATCCGATTAAGATAAGTTGAGTTATGGAGTTTAGAACTTCAGCCTTAGGACATTTAAACCATTTTGTTCGGCCAATCGATAGAAATTTTCAAGACTATTAAAGCAGGAGAAAAATATTACATTTACAAAAAATGTGGCCGGGGCAGTTTTGTGCGGCTTGTGGGCCTTAGAGTGGGCGTGGCAACATTTGAAAATAAACTTCTGCATGCCTAATTTCAATATTCTAACTTTAATAGTTCCTGAGAACTATACGGACAGACGGACACGGCCAGTTCGGCTCGGCTATTGATCCTGATCAAGAATATATATACTTTATATGGTCGGAAACGCTTCCTTCTGCCTGTTACGTACTTTTCAACGAATATAGTATACCCTTTTACTCTACGAGTAACGGGCATAATTACAAAAATTATAAACAGAAATGGTACAAAAAAGCTCCTTATAAAACAATATTATTAAATAAAAAATAGCGTGTAAACATTAAATTAAGTTTATTATCGCGAATTAAATTAGTTAAATGACTTTATTTCTTTTCCTTTCTTTCTCATATGTGAGGGCTGCGCTCTGCCTTGCGGCCATTAAGCATGTTAATGCTGACCACGCC